TTTTGATTTGAATAAAAAACTAAAGAAAAAATGCCAAGAAATTCATGACGTTTATGCAAAAGCATTGTAGTATTGATGTTTTCAGTCCGGAAGGTTGAGGATCTAATGCGAAATCAGACAGAGGTATGCAACAAAACCAAGGGTTAACGCCAGATTTGAAAAAAGCGAACACTAGAAATGAAAGAAAAAATAATAACAAAATCAAATTTTGCTTTCAAATATGAAGACGTCAGTTAGCTGGAACACTTTATATTATTTCACTATCGGTCGTCAAGGTTCATAGAATACAAGGTTACGACATCAGCCATGGCCGCCATATTGAGGACGTAGATGGCTCAATTATTGGAGTTGCCAGATTTCTAAAAAATTATCTTATAAAAATACACTATTTTAGTCAAAAACACATCAAGTTTTATTTCAAATATGATAATAATAATAGAATGGCGCTTACACATATGCTAGTGTTTGACCGAGCTTCTCCTCCGACTTGTGGTGTGCACCTTGATGTTTTCACACAAAGCGGAGGGACCTACAGTTTTACGCCGACTCCGAACGGCGATTGTATTTTTATGTATGTATTTCAAATATGTGTAACCCTAATATTTTCCGTTTGACAATTTGCGTTGAAGTTTGTGCTTTTTTCTGCGTCTTTGAGTTGATTTAAATTATTAAAAATTTAAGTGCGCTGTTTTTGATTACAAAAATTACACTGAAAAGGTAATGCAGCGTTTTTGCTGCATTCAAAATGACTTTAGCACTTTCGAACATATTTTTTCGAAGAGCGTTCATGCTATCGCATTTAGCAAATGTACATTTACGCGAGTTCGAAATCGTATGCTTTTGACAAACAGTCGTGTTCCAGTCGCTTAAGGCCCCTCCACATAGAACTTTCGCGTTGGCTTTGGTTTGGCAAAACGCACGTTAAAAGTATGCTTGCTACAATGAACGCTTGAAAGCGAATACTTGGGCCACTAAATTAACATACTAACGACAGATAAATTAATATTTCATATCAATAATTGCATTTAAAATGATATTTCTTACCCGCACTTGATTAAAAAGGAAAAATATTTCACATAATTCTATTTATTTGCAACAGCTGACGAGCGACGCACGTGAGAAGTTGAGAGTTGGCCATCTTTTTGCTTTGTGTTGGCGTGACCGTTGTCAAGTTTTGGCTATGTGGACGGCTGCATTTGGTTTCATGTATTCATAGTCAGCTGTTGAAGCGACGCCAATGCCAACGCAACGCCAAAGTTCTATGAGGACGGGCCTTTACAGTGGCTACACACGACGAACATGGGCGCGCACATGCTCGGCGTGCGGTGCATGTTCGTCGTTTGTAGGGCGATTCACGAGCATGCTCGCAATAAATCAACAAATTTTGATTTTCAGCGAGCATGTTCGTCGTTTGTATCGTGGTTTGCGAGCATCGCATTGGAAACAAAAACAACAACTTCATTTTGTGTTGATGCTTGCAGAGTACACATCGGCGGATAAGTGCGGCCAAGACATGTACGTTGTTGAATTTTTGATAGATTAGGCTAAAATACTATATGTATATGTACGGTGACCATATTTATGGGAGCCGAATACGGGACAAAGTTAATTTTGCTAATTTTTTCCACAAAGACTACTAAACCTTCTTAAATGATCCTAGATGTTTTAACCTTGAAACAGTATCCTTGTAGTAACGTCACACATTTGTAGGATACTTTTCTCGAGATTTCTAACGCACAAAATTCGTTACATTTTCGTATAATAAAGTACAAGTTTGAAGTAAGTAGGACTTACCGTTAATTTTTGGCAATTTTTGTTTTTTTTTGTTGACAAGACTACGCATTTTTTCATACAAAGTAAGTATACGCGACAATTTTTTGATACGGAAGCAAATGAGCAGCAGATTGCCCGCTCACCTTACTATAACCAATTTTAATGAGCTACGAAGCTTCGACCAAATATTCTTCTAAAGTTTGTGATTAAAAAGTTTGAAATTTTGGTGAAACTTTACATAATTAATTTGCATAGTTTTTGCACAAAGTCGGAAATTTGCACTATTTGGTTTTTGTTAGGAAAGGAGCTCTACTTTTATAAAAAAATAAAAAACGTTTAATAAACAAAAGAAAAATAGACAAACCTTGCTAAAATGTAGAGTCTTAATTTTTATTTTGGTCACTGCACTATGGGAAATTTGAGCCTATTTTGTGGTCAAAAGTCAATTCCTTGACTTGCATGAAATTCGGTTTTTTGTCTTATCTTACAGATAATACTTCAGAGTAAAAAACTATATACTCTGTTTTTCGATAAATTGATTTACCGTTGATTTGGTAACCCTCAAACAGATAGTTTCGAAATTTTCTGTAAACGAAAAATGTGTAGCTTGATTTTGTTCCACTTTCAAATGCGTGTATCTCTTAATCTATTTGCTGCTTTTCAAAAGTGAAAAGTGGAAAGAAAGAATGATGGTTAGCAGCATATTTATCATATAAAACTTGTATTATAGTTTAAAGGTTGTGCCAAAGAAACGTCCGCATTTAAGTGACTTTAAAGTGAAATTGTACAATTAAAACAAAAGTTTATTTAGTGTTTCAAAAAAATGTTTAAAAACATTTAAAAAAACTCATCATAAATCGGTAGAATAGTCCCTGATCTCTTATTTCCCCCATAATCTTATACTGCGATTTTGTGCGATATTAAAGAAATTATAATTTTTCTACTACTTGGTACAAAATCATGAGTTTTATAAAATATTTCACGGTGTTATAATTTAAAAGTTGGAAAAAAACCTGTCAGATAACAAAGAGAAAGTTTTAAACTTAAGGTCAGTGGAGGATTCGAGTCGATATTTAAAATAGAACGTACGACGCATGTGTGACCATTACGCTATTTTTTGGAGGTGTGACCATTACGGGTCAACTTTTGCCCGCCAAGGCCACTACGTCTAGTCCTACTACTGGGCCAAGTGTTAAATCGATATCTCAACTTTTAGAATTTTGGCCACAAAATAGGGTCAAATTTCCCATAGTGCACTGTATGTGTTCATCAATTCGAATCACAGGCATTCAGATAAAAAATGTTTATAGAGAAAATTACGATCACATCCATAGAAACATCATTTAAAACCGGTTCATAGGCATGCCATTTTAATGAGCCGTTAATGCGTCGAAATAACGAGCACAGAATACGGGACAAATATAGGACAGTAAAAGAAATACAGAACATTTGGCGTCCCGTATAAAATAAATTAATTACCAGGACAATTGGTCAAAATAGAGGACTGTCCCGTATAATACAGGACGGATGGTCACCGTAACTATAAGGCATTGTATAGGCTTACAAGTATGGAAAGCGCCGTTTTGTTTGTTTACATTTGAAAACAGCTGGGATCACCTGAATTTCAATTCTCTCATTCTCTGCACAGAGTTACTTTCAAGTTTCAGAAAAAACTTTAAAATGTAAGTTGAGAAATATTTTAGAAAAATGTGTTTTTGGATTAAATATATAAAGAAGATTCCACTAATCTACACAATAGATATTAAAAATGAAATAAATGAAGAATGAGAGAATTTTATTCACATAAAATACTGACCAAAGAAAAATGTTATAGACAAATATTCAAAATAAACCATGGTTTCATGAAAAGTCCAGTATATTTTACATAGAGCAAAAGCTGGAGCAACTTTTTGATATAATTTGTTTAAAAAAACCTAAGTCGCCCTAGCCCATATGATTATCATGTGCTAAGAAATAGTTTTTCGCATTTTCTGACAAACTTATTATTTTGAGTTGTGACTCTTTTGAAGACGGTGTGCGTTATGAAGAAATATACAAATAGTAAAGATGCAATTGATATGATGTGTTGAGCTACTAAGCCTTTTTAGCAGCTATTAAAATAAAACAAATGATGTATGCAACTGTATTTAACAAGTTTAAATACATACGAGTAAATATGCAGCTCAATTGAGTATGAAAATTTCAGTGTGATCAGATAACATTATTCATATTGATTTTGATAAACATATTTTATGTTGCTGGCTTATCCGCTGCTGCTCGGAACCTCCTCCCCCCCGTTGAAAGGTCAGGGCTTTCAACAGAATCCTTCACCGGGAGGACACACAGCTTGTTCACGGCTCGTCGCGTTATGCCGCTAGATGTTTTTAAAAGTGCCACACGTACGACACCGTCTGCTCCAGGGACAACTTCGATTACCCGTGCTAGAGGCCACTTCAGTGGTGGTGAGTTTTCTTCCTTTATGCATACGACATTATTGACTTCAATGTTGGCATGAGGTAAACGCCACTTTGCGCGTTGCTGTAGAAGAGTTAGATACTCTTGAGTCCACCGCTTCCAAAAAACCTGTTTAATGTATGTTGCACGCTGCCATCGATCAAGTCGGTCGTAGTTTAGCGTCGTTAGATCCGGTTCCGGAAGAGCTGTCAGAGAACCACCAATCAAAAAATGGCCTGGCGTTAGCACATCTAAATCCTCTGGGTTTTCTGAAAGGGGTACGAGAGGACGAGAGTTAATTACAGCACAGATTTGACATACCAAAGTACGCAATTCATCGAAGCCAAGCAGTGATGAGCCAACGGAACGATAGAAATGATGTTAAGCAACTGTATTTAACAAGTTTAAATACAAACGAGTAAATATGCAGCTCAATTGAGTATGAAAATTTCAGTGTGATCAGATAACATTATTCATATTGATTTTGATAAACATATTTTATGTTGCTGGCTTATCCGCTGCTGCTCCGAACATCCTCCCCGCCGTTGAAAGGTCAGGGCTTTCAACAGAATCCTTCACCGGGAGGACACACAGCTTGTTCACGGCTCGTCGCGTTTTGCCGCTAGATGTTTTTAAAAGTTCCACACGTACGACATCGTCTGCTCCAGGGACAACTTCGATTACCCGTGCTAGAGGCCACTACAGTGGTGGTGAGTTTTCTTCCTTTATGCATACGACATCATTGACTTCAATGTTGGCATGAGGTAAACGCCACTTTGCGCGTTGCTGTAGAAGAGTTAGATACTCTTGAGTCCACCGCTTCCAAAAAACCTGTTTAATGTATGTTCCACGCTGCCATCGATCAAGTCGGTCGTAGTTTAGCGTCGTTAGATCCGGTTCCGGAAGAGCTGTCAGAGAACCACCAATCAAAAAATGGCCTGGCGTTAGCACATCTAATTCCTCTGGGTTTTCTGAAGGGGGTATGAGAGGACGAGAGTTAATTACAGCACAGATTTGACATACCAAAGTACGCAATTCATCGAAGCCAAGCAGTGATGAGCCCCCGGAACGATAGAAATGTTCTTTGGCTGTTTTTACGGCCGCTTCCCACAAACCGCCAAAGTGCGGAGAGCGAGGTGGGATGAAACGCCAATCAAAGCCATTACTGAGGCAAAAGTTGTGGACTTCGCGGCGGTGTTTCTCGCTGAGGGCTAAGTTCCGTAGTTCTTTAAGCTCGTTCTTGGCGCCTACAAAATTCGACGCATTGTCAGACCAGATGCAGCTGGGTATGCCACGCGTAGCGATGAATCGTTTTAGCGCGTCAATGAAAGCACCTGTTGAGAGGTCTCTTACCAACTCCATCCATACAGCCTTTGTGGCGAAGCAAATGAAAACGCTTACATAACATTTGTTGGGCGATTTATTGCGTTCTTCAGGCTTGTAATAAAATGGCCCACAGTAGTCCACACCGGTGACTATGAATGGGCGCGAGGCATGAATTCGCTCTTTAGGCAGGTCGGCCATTATGTGCTCGACAAGGCGCGGTCTCGATTTGCAGCAAATAATGCATTTTTGTAGGACTCGAGTGACTGTTTGCTGACGTACCCAAAAATGCGCTGCATTGTTCCAAATGAATTAATGTACTTGAAAGAAAGCGAAATGTCATTGCGGTTATGTGCGGCAAGCAACACCTTTTGTCGAAGTTCTGGAAGTTTTGGTTGTGGTAGACACATGCGCGGCCAGCTGCCCTCCACTTCTCGCAAAAATGACGGGCCGTGCATCCAAAGTGAAGATCCTAGAAGTTCCTGCGGGGTAGCTCCTTTGGATAAAATGTCCGCCGGATTCATTGCTGTCGGAACATAGTGGCACCGCATGCCCTCCGTTAATTGATGTATGGTGGAAATTCGGTTAGCGACAAATACGTTAAATTTCGATGGTTCTTCTCGCAGCCACGAGAGGACAGTGGAGGAATCTGACCAACAATGAAATGAACAGTTAAAAAGCTTCATTTTTGTAAACTCACCTATGAGTGGTGCAAGCAGTGTTGCTGCACAGAGTTCCAGCTTGGGCACGGTGATAGTCTTCAGTGGAGCGACACGAGCCTTCGAACACAACAGGTGCACTTGTACCTTACTATCCTTGGCTGAACGCGTATAAACGCAAGCCCCATAAGCTTCAAGGCTTGCATCGCAAAATGCATGAATTTCTGTAATGGCTCCAGGTTGCAAGACGTAACGAGGAAATGATAGGTGCTGTATGTCTGCAAACCCGCTGCAAAAGGCAGACCAGGCGGTGTTTAACGATTGCGGTAGACTCTCATCCCACTCAAGCTTGTCTCTCCACATGCGTTGCAGAAGAATCTTCGCCTTGGTCAGCGTAGGGCCCATTAGTCCAAGGGGATCGTAACAGCGAGCTAGAGTAGACAACGCAGAGCGTTTTGAGTTTTTACCGAGTTCTCGTTGTGGCACAAACGAAAATAGCACCTTGTCCTTGACCGGATCCCAAACTAGTCCCAGAGCTTTGGTGATGTCACTGCCATCGTCAAACTTAAGGAAACGTTCCTTGTCTACGTCGGGTATATCACTAAGGATATCTGGACTATTAGAGCACCACTTGCGTAACTTAAAGTTTCCTCGAGCAAGGAGGCTAGTTGTTTGTAGCTTGATATTCAGTACTTCTTCCATCGAATCGCCTCCAGATATCAAGTCATCTACGTAGAAGTCTCGACGCACTATTTCTGCACCAATGGGATAAGTCGAGGATTCGTCAGCTGCGAGTTGGTACATGGCACGTATGGCCAGGAATGACGCAGGCTTAGTTCCATAAGTCAGCGTGTCTAACTTATAGATGGCAAAGTTTTCCTGAGGAGATTCACGCCACAATATGCATTGGAGCATGCTATCTGGTGGGGTGACGCGAACACACCTATACATCTTACAGATGTCCCCAGTAAGTGCTATGGGAAAGGTACGAAATCTAATAAGGATATTAAAAAGTTTCGGCTGAATAGTTTGGCCTGCCATGAGTAGGTCGTTCAGCAAAAAGCCCGAAGTAGTGGATGCAGAGCCATCAAAAACCACTCTCAGCTTTGTTGTGCTACTGTCATCCTTGATGACGCAATAATGCCGCAGAAAATACTTGCATTGTTGAAAAACCTCATTGGTAACTAGCGACATGTGATTAAGGTCCAGATATTCCTTTATGAACTTACTATATTCTGTTTTAAGCTCAGGGTTACGAGCGAATTTTCGTTCAAGACTTTCGAAGCGTTGACGAGCTTGCAAATAGGAGTCTCCAAGGGCCTCCACACCACGCTTCATGGGAAGACGAACTGAGTATTCGCCTGATGACAATCGCAAATAATTTTCCCGGAAGTGGGCTTCGCAGTCGATATCTTCTTAGGAGGCCTTAGAGATCGGCTCGAAGTTGTGCTCGATTTCCCAGAACTGACGCACTAAATCATCCAACCGAGTGGCAATAATATCACTGGAGGACTTCCGTCGCACCACAAATGATGATAGTTTTGGAGCTTCTTGCCCCCCTCCAGATAGCACCCAACCGAGGCGTGTTTTCTGAAGGAGTGGTAAACCAGATGCCAAGCGTATCTGCCCCACACATAGCAGATCGAAGAACAATGCTGCTCCAATGAGCAGATCAATTCGCTGCGGTAAGTTGAACCCAGGATCAGCTAGTTGTATATTCGACGGAACATTCCACTCGTTGGTGCTCACGGAGCAGCCAGGCTGGTTGTCGGTTATGGTTTGCACAACAACAGCTGTTATGTTTGTTGAGAAATCTGAAGTCCGCGACTTCACTACGAGGTCGACTGAGTAACCCTCCGTTGAGAAATTGGCATCTCCAATGCCAGATACTGTAGCAGAAGATTTTGCTTTTACAAGCTGCAATTGGTTTGCAAGGCGAGTTGTGACAAAGTGTAACTGGGAGCCAGAATCTAAAAGCGCCCTGCAAGGCACGAAGCTTCCAGCACGATTTTTTACCAGAACGACGGCAGTAGCTAGGAACACAGCATTAGAAGGAGATACTGGGGCACTAGGCGACGCAGATAACGATGCAGTCATAGCGTTGGATTGAACTGTAGCTGCCGACGAAGCTTCGGCTTGACTATTGATTAACGATGCAGTTGAGCGTTCGAAATGCAAGAGCGTGTGGTGTTTCGACTGACAGGCGCGGCACGATCCGGATTTGCAGTCACGAATTTGATGCCCAGTCTTTAGGCAGTTAAGACAAAGGGAAAGCTTCTTAACTTCCCTCAGGCGTAAGTTCGGAGACAAATTTGCTAAGCGTTGACAGCTATAAATTGCATGCTCGGCAGATCCACAAAACACACAAACACCTGTTGAGCCGTTGGAAGCAACAAAGGATTTCTTCTGACCAGTACTCACGTTCTTGTTAGCTTTTACCGCCTGACCAGTCCGTGTCTGCATAGAATGCTCTACGTTCTCGAGTGCTCTGCAGCGCTTCTCCAAGAAAATAGCTAATTGATCCCAGGATGGCAGTTCGCTGATCGATGAACTCTCCTCCCATTTAGCCTGCGTCTTTTTGTCGAGTTTCTGGATCACCAATTGTACGATGATGCCATCTGCGATCTTCCCATTGGATGCGAGCGACTGCAATGCGCGTATGTGTGCTGTGACCTTATCTGTCAGCTCTCGTAGCTTGGTTTCGTTTGAATCTGCCCTATCTAGCCCAAATATCTCCCTGACGTGTGCCTGAAATATAAGACGTTTGTTATCGAAGCGCTTTTGTAAAAGATCTAATGCAGTGTTATAATTAGCGTCGTTTATTTCCAGCGAGCGCACGGTGTCAAGGGCAGCGCCGCTCAGACAGGAACGAAGATGCTGCAATTTGTCGATGTTGGTGAGGTCGCTGTCCTTGTCGATTATTGACGTGAACATTGAATAGAAATTGGTCCACTCGGTGTAGGCGCCACTGAATTTAGGCAGTGTCAGCAATGGCAAGCGTGAGCTATTAGCGTTCACAATGATTGATTGGGTCTCATTGGAGTTCATTCTGAGCGTGGAGCAATGTTGCGAGGCACTACGTTTACCAATCTCGCGTTGCAGTGTAGCTCTAAGGTTGATTAGACTAGCATCGAAGTTACTTGGCAGGTCGCTGGCAATGGAGTCGAAGTCCAATTCCTCTAGGCTTGTGTGTGCGGCAGAAAAACTGGATTTCAATTCGCCTAAAGATTCTAGCATTGCTGAAAGACTGTACTCATCCATACTGTGTAGCTTGTCTGCGTCCAACTCGTTAATCAAGCTCTCCAGTCTGCTGAATATGGCCTTTGTTTTCAGCTTTAGAAAGGCTACTCGATCTGCACCTTCCCCTGGCATGACGAAGTTGCTGACGTTTACACTAGTGTGTCAGAATTATCTCAGTAAGCGGCCGGAAACGAACGAAAAATCGCGTGATACGATCACGTCGGGCTCACCAAATGTTGAGCTACTAAGCCTTTTTAGCAGCTATTAAAATAAAACAAATGATGTATGCATAAGTTAAGCAACTGTATTTAACAAGATTTGGTCCGCGACTAACTCAAAGAAAGTTCACCTTGAACTATTTAAGTATGTCCTAATTACATTGGATAACTGCAAATTCATCACCAACAATATAAAACCAGTTTTCTTAAATGCATGAGAATTTACATATATATATATTTATGTACGTATGCACCCGCGCACACAATATTGCTTACATACATATGTACTATTTTTCGCTTGCTTGCATACGAATGTATCCAACTGAGCGCGGGCGGTACGTATGCACATACATATATGTATGTATGTATATACATATGCTTTATACATAGTATAAAGGGGAAACAAAATTAGCACAGTTTAAATACATACGAGTAAATATGCAGCTCAATTGAGTATGAAAATTTCAGTGTGATCAGATAACATTATTCATATTGATTTTGATAAACATATTTTATGTTGCTGGCTTATCCGCTGCTGCTCCGAACAATGATGTATATACATAAATTTATATTTTTTAAATTATATTTGTTGCATTTAAAAATTACGTGCTCAATATCTTAAATTGAATTACATTTGGTGGGCGGACACACAAATGATCCTGACCTGCACAAGAAAAAATCTTTATTAATATTTGCACTTTCGCTTTTATGAGGTGGTATACTAACTTGTAAGTATGCGAATTCTCCACTTGACCAAACCAAAGGCTGCAGTGGGGAAAATACCCTCACCAGCGAACGTGGACGGACACACAAATGATCCTGACCAGCACAGAAGAAATCTTTACAAATATTTGCACTTTCACTTTTATGGGGTGGTATACTTACTTGTAAGTAAGCAAAGGCTGCACTCGACCAAACCAAAGGTTGCACTGGTGATAATACCTGCACCAGCGAACGCGAACGGATACACAATGTGATCCTGACCTGCACAAGAAAAAATCTTTATTAATTCTTTCACTTTTGTGGGGTGGTATACTTACTTGTAAGTATGCGACGGCTGCACTTCACCTAGTACGCAAAACTTACCTGCAACGGCTGCTGTAAAACGCAAGTTGTTGAATAAAATTTTGGAATAACTCCGATACTCTGCAAAGAAATATGTAAATTATTGTTTTAATTCAAAATAGTTTCATTATTTTTGATTTTTTTGCCATACCTACTTGAATTTGCGCAATAAAAAATAAATTTTCAAGAAGCAATCGATGAAAATATCGGCAGTGTAGCCTGTTGAACTTTTTATACGAAGACAATATTTCTCCTTGTATTTTACAGCCCTATTCCGGTTTTGCAATAGTATGACAATTGATCATCCTTCATTGTCGTGATTTTGTCATTGTCGTTACACGTTGGCATTCCTAACTAAAAATGACAAGCGAAAAGCTTTTGTCAACTTACCATGCATGGTGAAAAGTTCATTGTTGCAGAAACAGCTGGTAAACGCTATTAGTTGCAAAAAATATGAGCGGTGAATAGATAAATTCGTATATTTATAACATTTTAGACGTGCAAAATATGAGCGGAAGACGCAGGAGCAGCTGCAATTTTATGTGCAGTTTTGTAGGGAGCATACGGAGCTGCAAAAAGGAAAAAATAATCCGTGCTTCCCAAAACAGATGCAATCGCTCTGGACGCAGATGGCCTAAACGCCATGCGTGGTCCCACCCGCTCCGTAGCAAAGTGGAAAGATGTAAGTTTTGTATATTTACATACATACATATGTAGGTATTTATATCTTTCATTTATGGATGCCGGCCGCTGTGGTGTAGTGGTAAGCATTGCGCGCTTCCACTCCGCATGACCGGGTTCAAACCCTGGTCAAAGCAACATCGCAAAAAATATAGGAAAAAGGTTTTTTCTTAACAGCGGTCGTCCGTCGGCAGACAAGAAGCTATGGCAGAAAGAAAGACGACGTCTATGGCTTTTTGCCGGAGAAACGCTCCGTGCTAACAACGAAGGTCTTCAGTCGACTGATGTCCACACCCGAGAGCTTATCGGGAGTGTGAAAAAAGTGCGATCCAAGGTGCTTAAAACTTAGGCTCGCAAAGGCAGGACACCAGAGCAGCAGATGTTGAGATGATTCCACCTCATCGTCCTCCATGCAGCTGGTGCAGTAAGGGTTATCCGCGACACTCAGCGTTACCGCATGGTTACCAATCACACAGTGACCAGTAAGCACTCCCACCAATAGTGAGAGATGCAGCTTGCTTAGTCTCAAGAGCTCCCTAGACCGCCCCCGGTCCACCCGTGGCCAGAAAGACTTTGCCACCTTGCACTCCAAGGTGTTCGCCTAGCGCTCGCTGAGCTGACTAAACGCCCATCTGTCCAGAAGCAGACCACACGAGGTCAGAGGAGGCTCCAGACCCTCCCTATCCGAAAGTAATTCCTCGAGGGTTCCCTGTCTTGCTAGCTCATCAGCCATGCAGTTGCCAGCGATTTCGCTGTGACCTGGAACACAAATAAGCTTAATAGCAAAATAGTTAGACGCGGTCGATAGGGAAGTCAAACACACCCTCTCCGTTTCCGAAAGCACCGTCAGGGAGCCAAGAGCCCTGATGGCAGCCTGGCTGTCAGATGTTACACTAGAGAGCAACCAATCCGAAGCCTCTTTTATTGCGGCCACCTCAGCCTGGAAAACACTACAGTGATCCGGTAGCCTAAATTTCAGGTTGATGGAGAGCTCTTCGCAGAAGACACCTCCGCCCACCTTCCCATCCAGCTTCGACCCATCTGTAAATAAGTTTACAGGTCCTCGGTTCCAGATACTGCACCCCTCCCAGTCTTCCCTCGCCGGAAGACTACCTTTGGCGAGAGGCCCCAGCGCTACCCAATGGCCCCTCTGCAACAATACAGTGCTACTGTAGCCTTCTTGGCTCTTTCCTCCACGTTAGGCTTTCAGGACAGCTTACTGTCAAGGATCAATCCCAAGTACTTCACCCTGTCAGAGAGCTTCAGAGGAAGACCACCCATTGTGGGAAGACGGCAGTTCGGTATCTTATACCTCCTAGTAAAGAGAGAAAACTCCGTTTTACTGGGATTTACACCCAGCCCGCAGCTAGAAGCCCAGTTCTCAACCAAGCTCAAGTAACCCTGCACCTCCGGATTGAAGCGTTGCCCCACTCTGCCGCGACAGTTCTATTGAAAAGCAAGCGGTAAATAAACCTGACAAGGTCGGCTCCGACCCCTAGCTTATTTAGAGAGTTAACTACAGCCTCAGGCAAAACATTATGAAAAGCCCCCTCGATATCAAGGAAGGCACCGACCGCAAATTCCTTCTGCGAGAGGGATTTCTCGATATTTTCAACGACAGTGTGTAAGGCCGTTACGACAGACCTGCCCTTGCAGTAAGCATGCTGATCCAAGGAAAGGCGCTCCCTGAGGATACCGCTTCTTAAATGCAGATCGATCAGCCTCTCCAGCGTCTTCAGAAGAAACGAGAAAGTCTCTCCTCGGCCTGAAATCCCTGGGTGATACATGAGAGGCTTTACCCGCCTTGGGAATGAACACGACTCTGACCACCCTCCAATGCCCCGGAACATGACCCTTAGCCAGACAACCCTCGAAAATGGGTATCAACCAGTGGCACGACACTTCTGCAGATGTTTGCAGTTGGGCCGGTATTATGCCGTCGGGGCCGGGGGCCTTGGAGGAGCCAATGGCCCAAAGAAGGCGATCCATGGTTAGGATTTCCGAGATGTTCGTCTCGGGGATCGACTCCTCTAACCGGATCTCTCCCTGGTCCGGGTTGCAGGGGAAATGAGCATCAAGGAGCATTAGAAGAGACTCTTCGCTGCTCATTGCCCAGCCGCCGCCCTCATCCCTGATGAGCGGGATTCTCAAAAAGAACTCGCCGAAACCTTCAACACTCCTGACTACCCTCCAGGCTTTCGCAGAACAGTCTCCACGATGTCCGCCTCGCTTTTCTGATCTCGGACTTATATATCCCAAGCCCAATCTTATATAGTGCCCAGTCGGAGGCTGATTTACTCTTCGTGGCCCTATTGGAAAGGCCTCTGCTCGAGGCCCTAAGATCAGAGAGCTCCTCCGACCACCAGAGCGGTTTGCTCTTACCTTTGTGGTAACTCAGGGGACAAGACATCTCAATGGCCCTTTTACACGAAGCGGTGAACACTCCAATTAATTCGTAAATTTCGCCTTCACTCCAGGTCCCGTCCCGCCCCCGCCCGTGCAACCGGAAGCAATTCCTGCAGACTTCTGCAGTATAAGTCCCAGTTTGTTCTCCTCAGATTCCTGTCAGGTTTGTACGTAGGACGCGCTTCGTCCAAAGTGAATTGTATGTACCGATGATCGGAAAAGGAGTGCTCACTAAGGACTCTTCAGCCAGATATACGGGACATTATATCAGAAGAGACCAACGTGATATCTAAGACCTCTTCTCTACTAGCCGTTACAAAAGTGGGGTCGCTCCCCCTATTACATATACATAAATTTTCATTAAGTATAAAATTAAAGAGTGACTCACCTCTACTATTGATATCTGAGCTGCCCCAAATCGTATGGTGGGAATTCGCGTCAGACCCAATAACAACGCTGATCCTCCTGCGTCTAGCTTCTGCCACCGCGTTCCTTAGTAAGCACGGAGGTGGCTCCACCCCGTCCTCGTGCGCCATATAAGCGGATATTAACCAGAGTTCTCCGGTTGCACCCTCAAGGCTCACCGTGGCAATGTCTCCGCCGCTGAAAAGAGGCAAAATAAAAGCATTAAGTTCCTTACTGATGAGCATG